TGTTCAGAACCTTGACAAATGCTGCTACCTTTGTCTGTCCTAATTATCATTTCTTTTTTCTTGTTCTTCTTCTTCTCCTTAATATTTTTAACTTGTCTCCTTAAAAAAAACATCAAATTACAACATCATTTAATAAACACAAAGTCATACTGAACTCAATGATTACAAACTGGAACAAAAATTGTAAAAATTACTCAAATGATTAGTTTCAATTACGATACCATAGATTTAAATTGTTTAAATTGCTTCTATCGTTATCAGCATTTCTGTGCCGCTAAGTTGGCTAGACTGACTTTTGGCAATCATTATTAACATTTCTGCTTCTTACTTATTACTGTCAATTATTTGATTACTTATTAACTGTAAAAAAAAAGGCTTAAAGATTTAGGAAAAGGTGTTTGTCTTGCATTTAGCTACAGCTTAAGAGGTAACTAATTTTGGGGAAGTTGGGCGAACAGGAACAAAGTTAATAGGTTTTAAGGGCAAAACTACAAAGATCAAATTAAATAAGGTTATGGAAAATTGACTTGTATTTCAATACTACTTCACAGGGGGCAAATGAGATTTTTTTGGGAAAGGAAATAATTCAGTGCTTGAAAATTCATATTTATTTATTTTTTTTTGTTATTTGCTTATTTATTTGAAATGCTTTATCAATTTTTCCAGGCGAAACTTGTTTTTTAGATTTTATAAGAACTGCCAGAGAGGAGAAGAAGGAATGATTGCCAGTGACAAAATAATTTGACACAAAAAATAACAAGATTTTTTTTTTCTTGATTTTTAAATATACATTCTTTTCTCAAGAAAAAACTGTTCAGTTATTTTTTAATCTTAATTCAGCATGGTGGATTATGGATGACGATAAATTCAGCCAACACACATGCTTGCTGTTTATATTGGAAATATAAGGTTTTAGCTAGTGCCTGTTTAATTTTTTTTTCTTCTCTCTTTGGGACCGTTAAGAAGACGTTTACGGCTGAAGATTTTTATCATTAAGATTACGAAAAAAAAATTTTTTTTATTTGAATTCAAACATTGAACAACGGAAGGTATATATATGAAAGGCGATTTTGAGTGTGAAATTTAGATTAGGAATAAGAAGGGATAAGCAAGCAAACTGGGCTTTTAGGACAAGTTGATAAATACGTATAAGTTACTTAGTTCTCAGTCGACAGACCATTTCAGTTGATTTCCTTCTCAATTTTGTCTCTACTCTATTGTTATCACGGCTAATATTAATTCAAGATTTTTCAAGTAGGTTAGGAATTTTGACAAAATATTTAATTGTCGATTTACAAAACTTGAAAGTCGTTGAACAACGCAGATATTGAGAAGTTTTTACAGCATTTTTTCCACAGTTTTTTCCAGTAATGGAAGAAGTTTGAGTTGTAAATGTTCATTGTATTTGGACTCCCAAATAAATTGACTGAATGTTCCATGTTCTAAATGGCTTTTCAAGATACAAATAGCTAAGAAATACGGTATTTTAAACTTAAGTCTAAGTGTCTTTGAGTATAAAGTATTTGAGATAAATTGCCCATGGACGATTGTCCACATCTTATGTTCTGTTAAGGTCAAACGTCGTTCACTGTTTATCAAAAGTTAAACTTTCTTCTCATTCAACTATAAAACTTGTTTCAATTTTGCTTCAATAATTTATGGACTCGAACTTTGATATTTATCGCTTTTGGTTACTTCAGTTCGAAGGAATTAATAGTGTAAAAATTATGCATTGAAAAGGTGATAAAAGGAGTAATGATGTATGTGATTAAACAAATTTTAATAGGCTTTTTTAGAACAGAATTGAAGCGGTGGCAGCAATAAGAATATTAGGTAAAAAATTTGCAGGATTATTGCAGTGATCATTATTTTATTCGAGCAGATTGTGCTCCTCTTTTTAACTTGTATACACCGGTGGTTAAAAGCAACATTTATAGTACAATTTTATAGAATTTGGTAATAAATAATTGAAAAACTTTTTTTTTTGTTTTCGTTTATACAAACACCGAAGTGAAAATTGTTGTTGATTTTGATAATCACTCAGGCAAATGAAAAAAAATTTTTTTTCTGCCTGAAAGTTTCAGTTCAGAAGTATTGTTATCTTTCACAAATATGTTTTTTTTTTTTCTTTGTTTTTTCCTCAATTTTAAAAACTATATAATTGACATTAAAACTAAGCAGAATTGAACTGTTGTTTCGTCGTTACTGCTGAGTTCCAGTTGGACGGTGGCAGTTTGTCGTTTATTGCTCATATATCTATTAGATTAAAGTATTTGCTGCTGTTATCTAAAACTTTTTGTTCATAAATTTTTCTAAAGAGTAAAGCAAAAAACAATATTTCTTCTATGTAATCTTATCATTATTATTTTTTTTTTATCAAATAAACACTCAACAGTTTTGTTTGGTGTTTCCAATTGCTGTAAATATAGCTGAAGGTGTTAATAATTTATTTTCACAAATCACTATCATAACAGTAACACTATCAGATGACAATATTTTAATAGTAGTTTTGAAGCCTACTGCTTAAATAATGATCACATCTAAGATTCCACGTGTTCAAAACTGACAGTAATCTAATTGATCCTCTGTGGTTACTGTAAATGAAAACGGCTTAAGGTCTGCTTTAAGTTGGGAAAGCCTTGAAAATTACATTTTTTGTTAGCATTTTTTTCCTGCTTATTTTTTTTTT